CTCTCTCTCTCTCTCTCTCTCTCTCTCTCTCTCTCTCTCTCTCTCTCTCTCTCTCTCTCTCTTGGGTGTGTGTGTGCGCCCATGATTTGACCCTCCCTCCCCTTCTTGAGCTGAACATAAAACAGCCTCATTGCAACTGTATCAGACTGGCACAATAACTTGTATGCATTTCCGACCAGGGTGTGTCCTGTTAATGGGAATGCTGTAGCCATGTGGTGCAATGCGTGCAGCCTGCACTTCCCTCTCTCTCTGCCTGCCTCTCTCTCACACACACAGAAAACGAACGCTCAGTAGTGATTTCGTTCAACTTTGAAAAAACAATATGTCAAATCAAATCGAAATGACAATAGTGCAAAGAAAACTGTGTGCAAAAAGTGGCCATGTGGTGCAATGCGTGCAGCCTGCACTTCCCTCTCTCTCTGCCTGCCTCTCTCTCACACACACACACAAAACGAACGCTCAGTAGTGATTTCGTTCAACTTTGAAAAAACAATATGTCAAATCAAATCGAAATGACAATGGTGCAAAGAAAACTGTGTGCAAAAACGCAAGCCATAGCCATTGTTGGGTGAGGTGGCATTGGGGAAGTCTCGAAGGGCTACGAGCAATCATTGTACTTCGTCCGGGACTTCGTTCTGCTGGCACTGAGCCTCAGGGTGTCTGCAGAGCGGTAAAGACGACTTGATCTCATGGTGGAGAGGTGAAGTAGCCTGTGGGAGTGGCCGGGGCCGGGAGCAGTTGCCATACGGTATTCGCCCAAATAGAACACACGGTCAGTATAACTTTGCAGACAGGAGTTTTGTGTGTGTGTGTGCGTGTGTGGACGGGTGGGTGAATATAGGTGTTTTCATACCTTTGCAAATGCAAGTGACGTGCCGCTCCCCAACCCAAAAAATGAAACATAGACGCCGACCCCCCACACACCCAGGCCTCCATCCCCCCGTCTCGACATGTCATTTCGTTCATGCATTTTGGCATAATTACACCGAATGAATGCGTCTGACCGTTATTACGACTTGTACTCTCTTCCCCTGAATAAAAATAGGCCTAGCAACTCCCACTTTCGTCAATGTATCTGACCGATATTACAGGACAGGATGCACCTGAGCACCGTCGCATCCAGAGTTATTAAGCAGAAAAAGTCAGTGTGACATTCCATGACTTTCCTCTCCTCCCTGAAAGGAATGTCGTGTATGTGAACCAAAAAGTTATCCCGTACGCCAAATGATCATGCATTTTATTCCACGGAAAAAACTCAAAATATGTATGCTGATGCCCAGAAGTTGCCTCCGATACCTTATGCGGGAGGAAGAAGAAGAAGAAGAAGAAGAAGAAGAAGAGGAGGAGGACGAGAGGAGGAGGAAGAAGAAGAAGTGGAGGGTAACGTCTATTCAAACTTCCAGAGGGAAAAGAAGTAAAGGAGTTTAAAGAACTGATGGCGACAATTCTAACTTCAAGAAGAAGACGACGAAGAAGGTGGAGAGGGTAGGGTGATGGTCAAAAACAGTTTCACCAACTGTTCTCTCTCTCTCTCTCTCTCTCTCTCTCTCTCTCTCTCTCTCTCTCTCTCTCTCTCTCTCTCTCTCTCTCTCTCTCTCTCTCTCTCTCTCTCTCTCTCCCCCCCCCCAAGAAGAAGAAGAAGATGGCGCACCGGCTTACTCTACAGGTGATAGCGCAGGTGCAGGCAATGGCGCTCTCTCTGCAGGCGATGGCGCAGGTGCAGGCAATGGCGCTCTCTCCGCAGACTATGGCGCAGGGGCTCTCTCAACAGGCGAAGGCGCACGTGATGTTGCAAACACGAAGGTATGAGGTGCTGTGCGACATGCGATGAGGAAGGGGGGTCGTGAGAGTTTCAGTTAGAAAGAACTCCCGCCAATCTCTTTCGGAAGGCGGGCAATATTGGCCGTTGATCTCTCAAGATCGGCCGCCAACATTGGCCACCAGTCTCTTTGCAAAACGTGGGCCCTACTGGCTCCATTTTCTGTTTTTGCGATGGCGGCATTGGCGGGGGCCTCCACGAGGCTGCAGGAGGCTGCCAGGCCACTTCTTTTCTTCTTCGACCCCCCACCAAAATGTGCTGAGGGCAACCAGGAGCCTACCGGGCTGTGCGACAGGATCGTCCAATTTGGAGGCTTCCGGTTGGGAAAGGGGTCCCCAGGTCAACTGGGGACCAGCACTATTTTTTTAATTTTTAATTTTTTGTTTTTTGTCTCCTTGCGCAGGGGGCCATGCTAATCTTCTCTGTATCGTTCCGATTTTAATGGATGTCCCGAAGGACGACCAGCACTTTTTTTTGTAAGTGCTTAGTAACTTCTTAGTAAGTTCTTACAGTCTTCTTTTTTTTTTTTTTTTTTTTTTTTTTTTTGCAGGGCCAATGGGCCATGCTAATCTTCTCTTTATCTTTACTGTGTTTTTCACTGTGCCTTTCCAGGGATGCAGTTACTTTACTAAAAGACTCTGGACTTCAGGAATCACAGAGTCCCTCCTGTGTCACACAAGAACTATGGCCACTTCAAGGCAACTGGACAAGGACATCGCTGCCTCCGTCACGGAGTGCCGAACCCTTCCCAGTCGTCAAATCCTCGCCTTTGAGGTCTCCGGTGAAGGGTTCTGGGGCCAATGTAAAGGGAGCAAAATGTGATCCAGGTTCAGGTCTTGGGGCAGCTGGAGGTGGAGGAGGAGGTGAAAAAGAAGGAAGGGGAGGAGCAAGAGGTGTAACGACACCTGAACATAATGTCCTGCAGGAGCTTGCAAAATTGCAGGGTAAGATGTCACCAATGTAAGAGCGGAAAAAAACAAACAAACAGTTTTGGTATTATAATATACTATTATTTGATAACCATGCGTTTGGTTCTGCCAGTTGTGAAGTTACGATCTAGACTACCGGACCTGGCCAGGCAGTTCACCCGGGCCTGGGCGACCAGGACCCACCCGCCTGGGATACCTGGGCAAGTCATTTGTGGAGGGGTTTTCATTTGTTTATTTTTAGCGACCCGTGGGGCATTTTTGCGCCCAAGAAGTACTGCTGAAATCTGCTGTCTTTATTTTTTTGCAGCTTGTAGGGAGGTGGGAAAAGGGGGGGGGGGGGGGGGGCTGGGGGGGGTGCAGATTTGGCATTTCATGATTGAAAAGGCTTTAGTGACTTAGTCTTCATCTGTCGTTTTTTTTTTTGGAGGAAAAGAAATTCAAGAACAGTTTTTTTTTTTCTTTTTCTTGAATGCTCTTGGCCACCCGTTCCCCTCTCATTGTGACCTCAACATTTGTCGTGGCCAGCCCAAGAATCACTTTCCGAGATGGCTCGTGGGATATTCACACTTGCACAGTTCTCAATGTATCTGACCATAATTACTGATGGATGTGGATGCATCTGGCTGCGATCATGTCCAGAGCTAAATTGGAAAAGGCCTAGTGTGAGTATGGCCTCATTTTTAATAGACATCTAACCTTGCGGAGTCAATGGGGGAGCACAGAACATGGGGATGCCGGGGGGGACATATACCGCGGTAATTTTAGCATTGATTCTGTCACAAACTGTTATTAGGGTCTTCAAACGAACAGTGGTCTTGTTTTCGAGCATGGCTGTGACATAGTGATGCTGATGATGACGATGTCCTTTGAGCTGGTGAGGAGGGGAAGTCGGGGCAGATGGATGAAAGTCGAGGGAGGCTGGGGGGAAAGGAGGGGGGAAAGTTGGTGGGGAAGCCGCAAGAGAGGGGGAGGAAAGTAGGGGTGAACGGAGGAGGAGGGCGGGAGGAAAGAAGGAGGTGAAGCCGGAAGGGCGGGCAAGGGGGGAGTGCCACAGCACCTTTCTCTCCTCAAGGAAGGTAAGCTGTTTAAGTTTTGGATCTACCCATCTCCTGTTGCATGGTGTTCGACATAGAGGTAAGGCTGTTTCAAATTTTGATCAGTTCATCTGGGTGGACAAGGGGTTGTTATGCAGGTGGGAAAGGCTACCAGTCAGGTCTGGGCCGGCCGCACAGCCGGGCGTTTCGGGTTGGTCCCATGCGGGACCAAACCCGGCATCAATGGATAGGTTGTCATATATACTTCGCCATTGTTTGGCTATGGTATATGCTGCCAAATTCAAGCTTCTCTCATGAGCTAAGGTCTTTGCTATGGCAGACATAGACCTAAAGAAACCACGCACTGGCTGGTTTTCAACCAGGTTCCGAAATCCAGACCCCAACTTGGGCCGCCGCCGGGTTGGAACCCTAGGTTATGATGGAATAGCATGATGTGACACATGAGGCTTTTGTGTGTGCAGTATGACCTTGTCACAGGTGTGAGGGAGGTATCACTAGGAATGAGTGAGCAGTCACTTGAATACTTTGCACATTTTTCTAATATAAGAAAGCGCGACAACTGTGAGATCTACAACGAGGGCACGTTGTATCCTTGGATGTCTACAAGCTACCTTTTAGGTCTGATACAGTCATGATGAGGGTGGACCTTTTTCATGAACTTCGATGAGGGCGCGCACCCTTGTCATGACTATCTCGGTCATGAAAGGCAGCTTTCCCTACTACCTTCTACACCTCCACCCGCCTCCATCCAATAATCTTCGTCCACCTGCTTCTTTCCCCGCCTCCCGTCACCGTCTCATTACTCCGGCTGCCTCGAGCCCCCTTTTCCATCAGCTTAGCGCATGCACCTGCTGAAGACGCACACACTCCACTTCCTCCCCTACCCTTTCTCCCCCCCCCCAGCCCCTCACTCCCTATAGAACTCTGCTTCCTACCCCTTTCACTTTACCCTCCCCTTATGTGCTACTTGCAAATAACATACGGATGAGCAACATTAAGAGAACAGACAAAGTATAAGCTGAAGATCTGAAGTGAAATGAACATGAGTATACCTTCCCTTTTACTCTCCCACCTCTCATAACGTGCAAATGGGCGCCGCTCAACCACAATCGACGTGGGCAGCCTTGTACGTGGGAGGCATAGTAAAAGGGGAGCTGCAAGAACAAATGGAAGGGGTACCCCAAGGAAAACCAAAAAACTGTCTAATTGTAAAATTGCTTAAATGTTGGACTGTCTCAACTCAAGTGCTCTCATGATCCGCAAAAGGACAAAAGCTGCTTCGATTCTGAATCTACTTATCTGGGTGAAATTGGGGCTGTTGTGGGGGAAATTTAAAACACAAACACACACAAGGTTGGTGTGAGTAAAGTCGACCACTTTTCTCCGGGGTATCGCTAAGTTCGCTAACTCTGGGCGATGTGGTGTGTCTGTATCCATCAGTCAAATGCATCCTGGGAATACATTTTTTGAGTCGGTGAAAGTCCGACAAAACAGTCTGGCACAGTCATGCATTTTTTGAGTGTATACACTGTATAGTGAATATGACAACACACGTACATAGAGAGAGAGAGAGAGAGAGAGAGAGAGAGAGAGAGAGAGAGAGAGAGAGAGAGAGAGAGAGAGAGAGAGAGAGAGAGACACCCCGTCTCCCTCCAACTGTCTTCGTCCACCTCCTCCTTTCCCTACTGCCGGGCGCCTCCTTCTTCCACCTGCCTTACACCCTCCTTTCCGACAATCTTCATCCACCTGGCACTTTCCCCACCTCCTGCCACCACCTCCTTCCTTTTCCATTATCGCAGCGTGCTCACGTGCCCTCAGCCGTTCGTTCCGCAATCCCCTTTTGCTCAGCCCTCACCTGCTCCACCTAATCCTGCATCAGCTAATCCTCCTCACACATCACCCCTTTTGCCGACACCCGCTGGCTCCCATGTTGCACCTCTTTTGCCAACACCCTCTCGGCCTTTGCCTCTCCTCCCAACGCCTTCGCCTCCGTCATTTGCTATTGATCTTCATCCAGGTCCCCAACTCATAATTCATACCTCACTCCATCGCCTTCTTCATGAAGCTGCTTCRGGTAACTGGTGTCGTGTCAAGGCTGACATTGAGCGGGCACAACCAGCGTGGYGGGCACGACTTTTGCAATGGCTTTATAACAATGTTTCCAATGCGGACATGACAGCAGACATTCGAGAACTCGAATGCCTCATCCGAAAATCCCAGCATACC